CCAAGTGATGCCATTGAGCATTATGTGAAGTGTTGAATGTGGGATTGATAGCAGTAAAACCTAATTTTGAAACAGGATTAACAATGGGGTGATCGGGTCTGGAGTTCAGGTATATGGCTTTTTAGCATTTTGAGCTCCCATCTTTAAAGACAAGCGACAATTCGCGATCAAGAAAGTGACCACGTCTTTATTCATTACATAACTCTTATTTAGATGAGTAGATCACTTTCTAAAATAAAAAATTGCCAGATGTAACTCAAACGTTTGCTTCTTTACTTATTTACTTTCTATCTTTCGTTTACTGCCTTCAACTAGTTATGCAAAAATGTTTAGTCTAACTTAGAGCCCAACCTTTCATTCTTTCAAGCAGACAATTTCAGTTTTGAACGACGAAGGGAACGAGTTAGAACGTCACAAATTTGGACAAATGGTTCCTGCAGAAACAGGGCTAGTCATATCCATAGCAATGGAAATGGTAAGAACTTTAACATGCAAATTTCCATCTACTGGCTCAACAACAGAATCTGCAGCGTTGTTGACATTTTAGAGAATGTGCATCATTCTAGAATCCCGAGTTTCTGGAAAAAGTAATACCACTTTTTCTTGAAATTGATCTGGATGCATTTGGGGGTAAACAGGTTAATGGCATCCATGATATAGTTGTTTGCAGCTTTACTTGATGAAACAAAAAGCTGGTAAATTAAATTGGATATGAACATGTCCATATTCTATATCCTCCGTTGAAGATCACAAAAAAACTTCATGCTCCAAGAAATGAAAGGAATAAAGTACATTTGTTAAAAGGAAAATGTATTTAATTTGAAGCCATTCGTAATAAGAATTATTGGGAGTTGTATAGATGGCTCTTATTGGTGTCTTATTTACCTTAAAAAATGTTGGTGTTTGTAGGATCGCTACACTCTCACTCTCACCCTGCTAATGGTTGCACTGTGACTAGGAATAGCCTAAATCCTCGCAGTCCTCCATCTAATCTTCATCTACATATGACTACATTCGACTCTGAGACACCGCTCACATTCGAACAGGTAAGTCTTTCGGCTCGAAACCGAGTTTGAGTATTAGTGCTAAGTTGCAGTTACCAAATGAACCAGAAAGGCCACTCATCGAAGAGGTAACGTGACTGTGTCCATCTGTGTTCACACTCCTCTCTATTCTCTTCTCATCATTGGTGGCGTGTCCTCTCGGTGTTCATGCAAGCATATCTTTACGAAAACGTTGCGCACATAAGGCATATCTTGTCCTCTTTAACAGCAAATCCAGGCCTTACTGATATTACATTGTTGGATGGTACAATAATCAATTGTAATTGGCGTAGGCGCCTAGATTGAATGCTCAGATCTTTATTAGGCATCTTACTGAAGCCACGCGATGGTTTCGCCACGTTGCTCGTGCTACCACCTTTCACGCTATCTAGCTTTGCTATTGCGTAACCATAACCGCATCCGCCACTTGCTACTAAACTATGTAAATCCACTATAGCCTTTAACTATCAAAACTGTTCTGATTGAACCACATCTTAAAGCAGAAGAATGAAGTACCATTCTTACCATTGAAATCCCGACTTTCATAAGTTGTTATTTGTGTATAGTTGAAAACCTTCTCTTAGACTATAGTGTGAAATGTTTTTGAAAAAAAAATAGCTTTGGCGTGGATATCATACTATACAGTACCGCTCATAACTTATGCAAAATAAGCGTGATTTCACATAAAAATCCGTCGCAAGCGTCGCATCGTCATACTTTCTTTCAAAATAGATATTTTCCAAAAGGAATAGCGGTGTTAGACTCAGCTTGTCAAGACGAATCTTAAGGTAAGCCACACTAAAGTGACATCTAAGGTGTACGGTAGATACGGTAGGAAATCAACATCGCGAATCCGTCTGTTCGCATGCGAGAATTATATAATTTCTACGCAAAGTTCCAGACGGATTCGCGATGTTGATTTCTTACCGTATCTATCATACACCTTAGATTTACTGTAGTGTAGATAACATAACATTTGTCTTGACGAGCTAAGCCTAACACTGCTTTTCCTACTGAAAATTTCTATTTTGAATAAAATATGATGATGAGACGCTTGCGGCGGATTTTTATGTGAAACCACGTTTTTTTTGCAAAAGTTATGAGCGATTGTGTATCTTCACCTTTGCAAGTCGTTTGCTTATCTACCTGGTTGACAACAACCCACACATCGTACATACATCATGCTTAATAAGTTATATTCAGTCTCGTTGATAATGGTTAGAGAAACGGAAAGACGAGCTTATGTTACGCAAAAGTCGTCGATGTAAGAATGGCAAATATGGCAAAGTTTTCTTTAAGTGGCGTCTAAGTTGGATTAACCTCGTTTCCAAAAATCCTTGTAGCATTCTTTGAATGTCTTGAGAAGTCATTGATTGAAGGAGCAGTTGATATGAAAACTTGGTAAGGTGCAATGCAACATTCCACCGTATTTTGCAGTCATTTAATCCCAAAACAACCCTTAGTCAAATGCGGCTTATCAGCATTTAGGCGTTGCGACACCGCAATAACAGGCCCCTTTTGACACAATGAACGCGTAGAGAAAATAGAACTGTGGTTAATGCAAAGTAAACGCTGAACTAAGTTGTAGATATTCTACAATATACTTACGTTTACCTATATAATAATAATTTTTGGTACAGCTGCAAACAATTTCAAACGGCTTGGCATAAACCTATCATTGCCGCCATCTCCTTTCCAGTAATATCAATTTTCAAAAACCTAAAATCCAACTCTGCTAGCAAGTTCGGTCGATCTAACTCATCGGAACTTCTGTGCTCGAAAACTTCTTGTACGGCTGTACACTTTGTTTGAGCCATGGTTTTTAGAATGCTTTATTAAGGATGCATCGTGCTCTGCGTGGACAAATAGAAAGAATTTTCGCTCAAAATTCTATAGTTCATCTTCTACGCTCAGACCTACTATTAAATGTACTGGCTCTGTACTAAGCAAAAGCAGAAAAGAAAGCCCACCTTCACAGCTCAAATGGCACGTAAGCAAACGGACCGAATTTGAATAAATAATAGACCATTACAAAACATTCGCATTCGGATCATTCGATAATTCGATTTTTTTAAATTTTTAATGTTCATAATTCATCAATTCGAGTACTCAAACTCTTTCTTTATGAATAATTCGAAAAATTCAACTAAAGCTTGAAATTAGCGGCTAGCTTGCAACCTTAAGGTCGAATTGCAATCTCCTCTTCATAACAATGGATTTTTAATAATGGCGTGTTAAGGAACCTTTTTAGAAACCTAGGCCACATAAGTAATCATTTCTCAGCTTCTGCATTTTCCGCGCTTTATTGGCATTGCCTCCGTGTAGGTAAAGGCTTGCTAAAGATCTGAAATACTGCAACTTACATCTTATCTTGAGGAAGTGCAAAGGTTTACTCACAGTCGAGCATGTGTCTAAAAGCTTCTCCAGATTTCCTCTACCGTGTCTATAATCTATCTGATGATCACCTTTATCAGCACGTTGAAGTTTCTTTGCCTGTGCACAAATTGCACCCATTCTAGTTTCGATCTCCATCACCTGCAGCGAACGTCGGTTGCATCGCGCGATTTCATCCTGAAGCAGTCGACAAGTTCTCGATCGTCGCTTTCCCACTTGCTTTCACTATGTTTAATGTAAGTTTTTCTCCAACTGTTCGTAATTCTGAAGGAAAAAATGGTAATTTTAGTTGGTATACTGGTGGCACTATCTTTCGCAGACCTTCGATTATAAGGTCTCACAAGTGACGCAGTCTTCACACTAGTGCATTATCATATGTACAGAGGTAATATATGGTACTTACTAGCTGCATTGTGCCGAAACTTTAGCATATATCGTAAAGAGTAAGCAGAGTTCGAAGTTTGAACAATATGCTTAAACAAAAAAAGTGATCTGTAAGTACGATATGTTAGTCCTTTTTTTTTTTGCTCGATCTTATGGATGCGTACGTATGTTTGTTGAGAGCAGTAGTCAATTTGAAATGGTCTGCCTTTGTGGGAGTCGGGCCGAGTTGTTTATCCATGTGCGTTTCAACTGACCACCTCCTAACTTGCCATTGTTTTGCATCGAATTTCGTTAGCAAATTTTGTATTCCCTATTCTGGAATTTAACTCCGCTTCAAAACATACAAGTTTCCACTTTAACTTCAGTTGAGAGCCTGTTCTCGTAATGTTATATGTTAACAATTTTTAAAAAATAGCTTGTATATTTTTATGACTCTTTCCTCAGAGCTCTTGCTCCCTTAAAATCTCTGGCTCTGAGCAATAACGCGGTCCGATTCATGCTCGTACT